ATAAGTTATTTGAAGATACACAGGAGTTGGTAGAATATCTTTTACACTATAGTAATCATTTCTACAACAAAGGCTCCTACTGACAGAACAATTTTTTTGTACTCACTTACTTTTCGGCTAGTAGGACAACTGGTCCCGAAGGAACGATTCTGCACGCATTCTTTACAAAACGTGTGTCCGCAGGGCAGATTCTTGGGTCAGTGTGAATCCAGGTCAAAGTCAATGAAACAAATGTCACACTGCAGTTTCATCTAAAACACAAACGAAAAAGAGATATTCACGATTGAACGGGGTACATTGAGTGAAAAATGACTAAAAAATACCAGGTTGCTGTACAGTACAACTGCAGAAGTGCGATGGGCTAATCAGCCACACGGCGTTACAACCCTGGCTTAACAATTGTTTCCTTGTAAAGGGGACGGCACACTTCATCCTGCTGAGAGACTGATGCAGACATCACATGGATGGAAGTGTGCGCGGCTGCACGCGGCAGGATGCATTCACCGCTTTGCGTCATCCCTTTTAGACTTACTTTTACTCGAGTTGCGACTTTCCTTGGCCAGTCTCGTTGGGCCTCCGCTATTCCCTCGTCCCGCCGACTGCATTGCCGTCGCGCCGCTGGGTCCGCCATTCCTTTATCAGCTGGGGGCTGGGCCCTGATAAGGACCCCGTCGCAGCAGGAGCGTCCGGCGAGCATCGGCTGTCCGCGGAGGCGGTCTGGTCTGCGCCGGCAGGGCCCCTGTGAGGCGGGCGGGCCCGTCGCGCTCCGAGCCGGTGCGGGCGGCCTACCCCGCCGCTGCCAGGCGCCCGCACCACGGGGTGCTGGTGGACCGCGCTGCACGCCCGCGGGGACCACGGCAGAGCCCCCCTCGTTTACGTTTGTAGTATCTAATTAGATCGGTCCGCTTTCCATTCTCCCTCCCAAGTGTGGGGCGGCCTGCTGCTACTGCCCCGGTGCAAGCAGCACGGCCAGCCAGCACGAGCGGCGTCTCAGACTCCAGCGCCGTTAGGTAGGGGCAAGAGTACAGAGGCGGGGCGGACAGGGGGGGGGGTGCATCGAAAGTTGCCTACATCCAGGGGTTTTGTAGGTCAAATTGCCTACCTTCAGGCGGCTATCTAGTGCCCCCC